TCCATGAGAGAGAAACACGGTACGGTTTCTTGGCGGAGAAATTCCCCAGCTGGGGATCGTACCACCATCCCCGATAAGAGGGAAAGTGTGCGACCTAGCGGAGTACCCGTGAGGCGAGCGCTAAACAACCTGTTGTGTTGATGTAAGTGAGTGCTGCAATGATAGAACTGGCAGACTCCAAGGACTGCTGTAGGGATGTGGAGCACCCCAGCAGTACGATTTTTTTTCATGAGAGACTTTACTAAGCCTCTTTCCCCACTACCAGCTCGCAGCCAGCAACCTACGGTTACTGACCATGTCGCCATCAAGCAACTATTCTCGGTTCATGGTATGGGGTGCCTAAGCTGTGGACGAGCTTTATGCGTCATATCCGTCCATTCCCCACATCCTCATCAATGCTGTTGTCGATCTCTCGACAAGATAAGCCGCTTACTAGGCCGACGGGTTCGGACGTAAGCTCCCCCGCTCTTCGACGGCCGCATTTCTGTCTTCACAGCGATGCACCGTTTGGAGCAGGAAGACACTCGAGAGAGCCAGAGATGTCTGGTGAGTGCAAGCGCGCGGAAGAGGTGAGCCTCCACAGGCAGTGCTTTAGCACGTTGTGGCGGGTTCCACGATGTCCGGCTTTTGTCAAGGCTCGCGTCGTGTGGTTTCCTGGCAGTACTCTGTACTGAGGACCAGCCTGAGAGCAGTCGTGATGTTTCATCACCGCTCTCGTTTGATAGTTCCCGCGTGCATGTCAGGTGAATGTAATCAAGCGGAATCTTGATCATTCCTTGTGCTCGTGGCTCTCCTCAGAGCAACTGCGCATTGAGGCAAAACTAGGCTGGAGTGTCTGTATGCCTGCCTGACGCGTCTGCCAGTGTTTTACGGCGGCGCTGTGCCTGCCAAGGCACGTGTAACTTCACGTGCGGCAGCGTGAAGTCTATTGTGTTGTCCCAGCGGGAGCTCAGATGAGCTGAATTACACTCCTTGTACGGGTGAGGGACGGTTTGTTGTTGGCGGTGTCGCCACCTGATGACCTTCTGGCCTAGCGACACTAGGCTTTGCATTACTCGATGAGTTATCTACCGAAATCGATCCGTCGAGCGATATGAGACAGGCCCCCGACAGTGTCAGGTCGACACTATCGAGTAGTGGTCAGTATCGCCAATTTGGTAGACTCACCGTTTCCGGGCTGCCTCTCTGCTCTACGAGCCCTTTGACTTAAAGGCTTTGAGTGGCTCAAGTTGAGTCTGAGGAGCCGAATGTGGGGATCTATCTGTGGAAGGTACGGAGCTACTGTACCTCCGAGTTTGTTGCGCTATACAACGATTCTGCTGTGTAATGTTCGGGCGATCATCAAGTCCATGACATTTACAATGACCAGATGTTGTCCCAGGTATGCCATAAGGAGCCCTTATGTCACACCCTCGTTGAGGGCGACTAGTCACCATAGGCCTCAGTAAGGTTTGGCCTGCCTTGTCAATCTCTCCGCGTCCTGCTCAGGTACGAGCCGTCGCGAGCACTGGGTCAAGACTCGACCGCTGAGTGTACTCTGCATCTAGCCTTCGGATCACAGCCGCCTGTAGTCGTGCGGCAGAGTCCGATTGCGTGGCCGATATGGGCCGTGCCTTCTCGTGGGAAGTTTCCCTCAAGGTTCGTGATGTACGATCACTTGTCTGTCATTGAGTCTGGTTTGAGTCATGGCGGGGTAGAGTCTCAAGTATGTTGTGCTCGCAGCGAATTTCTTAATTCTCATATCCAATGGCCTTGAATACTGCGATGAACGCTGCTGGCTCAGTCCCGGATGACAAGGAGGCGGTCATCCAGGATATTCTCAGGGAGGTGGTACCTGGCGATGCCGAGCAAGACGTGAGAGTTCGTCAGTCTATCCTAGATGAGGTCAGTGGTCTGTCACTACAAACCATATCTAAGCTGCCCCAGACCTTCTGGAGTACAGCAGCGAATGATGCGCTGGTGATATCAGGAACCTCATCAGACGAGGAGAAAGCTCGGATCACGAGGCTGAGGTTGGTCTTGGCATCGAGCGGAGAAGCTCTCACTGCTCAAGTACTATGCTATGTTAGCACTGCTGCTGAAAAGGTCAAACGGGAAATTCAGCTAGCGAAGCTTCCGGAAGCGGACGTTAGTGGTTTGGTGACTAAGATCTCTAATAGGTTACAGGTCAAGTTCACCCCAGCACTGATCCCGCCGAGTAACGTTGTGGCCAAGTGTAAGGCTAATAAGTTTGTCGAATTAGCCGAATGTCGTGTATCGGATGCTGAGTACAGTAGCACTCGTAGCGAGCTAGCTACGTCGGTCACCGGGGCGAACGTTGAGATCCTGAAGAAGCCAAGCGACAGTTCGAAGTTTCTTTTGAGTGGCGAAGTTACAGTGTGTCTTCTGCGCCTCATGATGGCCCTCTGGTTGGTTGCACCCGAACAGGGTAACTTTCTCGTCTTTCTCAATTATGTTTTACGTGTCACCGAGATGGGGAACCATGGTTGGGGCCGAGCTTTGCGCCTCGACCGTCGACATCGCGAATCTGTCATCACCCGTATGGCAGCAGACAAGAGTCTCACCATTTATGATATGTTTGAGGATGATGTCGTCACGGCTAACTTTGCCAAAGCCACCTTGGAGTACGAGACCAGTAACGGTAAAGATAAGAAAAAAGGATGCGTCGGCGAAGGGTTCCCAACCGCGCAAGAGATGGAGAAAGTCCAGTTCTTGGTGGGGTTCGGATTGGTATTCCGAGAAGCCTGCTGGTGCCGCTGCCAAGACTGACAAGTCTTCTAAATTCAAGCCTGACGAGGAGAAGAGGAAGTAAGCCCCCCTCATCGTTATGGGTCACCACAAAGCAGGGACTCCCTGATCAGCTGATCATAAGCGCCTCATAGTCTCATAGTTTCGGATAGCCTGTCATGTACTAGCAGCGTTGGTGTTATACTGAGACGGCAGCATTGACATCACGCTTCCTCAGTTATAGTTTTTCCCTCCCAATGTCTGACAGGAGATCAAGCAAGCGATCTGCAGCAGCGCGAGTTCGGAGGAATGAGGAGAAGCGTGCTCGCCAACGCCAAAGTTGGAGAGAAGCTGAGGACGTTCGATCATCGCTGACGAATTTAGAAGACAAGGCAGAGCATTGGAGGTCTCAGTGGGAGTCTGACCAGGCCAAGGGCTTAACGGACGGTACGGCCGGTCCTGGGTTTTGCCCTTGGTCCATCCCATACGGACCTCGTACACAACTTCAGTCGTTGTTGGTCGACGCGTTGAAAGCGAAAATTCGAGAATTCGCAGCGATGGACTCTGGCAGGTTCGTCCATAGATGGTCGTCACTGCCGCGCGCTGAACAGGGTGGTTTTGATTGGAGCAGTGTTGAACGCGATCTCTATATTCTCGCTGATCAGTTGAGAGACGAATGGTGTGCTCTGCTTCACGTGGATGGGCGCGTTGCACGCTCAG